AAGTTGATAATAAAGAGGAGAATAAAGCAGTTGATGATAATCAGACCAGTCCAATGAATTTTAATGCCCTGAGCGAGATAATAATTTTATGTCTTTAAATTTGTACCGTATAATAAACAAAACATAAATAATTTTTTTTAAAACAAAAATGTAATAAAAATTAGAGTCAAACAATATCAATACTTATACAAATCAAAAGCTACAATGCTAGAAATATCACCTAAAACGATGTCCTCTTGTATTTTTTGAAGTAAAAACCTCTATTATTTTACGATAATCAATACTTTGTAAAAATTGATTTTCGAAGTTTAAAATTACTAATCCGTTCAATCTATCTTGAGTCATCGTACTTCGAATATAGGATTTCAAGAGCTTCAATTTAAAAAACTTCTTTCCGAAGTAACCGTAACTGGTACCGTAACAGACCAAATATATATACACATTATAATTACTAAAATCTGATGCCCCTCAAACGTGTTGCCCTGGCTAAGGCTCATCTTACACATCTTTTAGGCCCGAGACTTACGATAATACGGATAAATTCATGAAATTTAAAAAAAATGTAATTTAAGAATAAAAAAAGGCCATTGATCGTAGAAAGAGAGAAGTTTACCTGAGAGAGGGAAGGAGGACGCGAAGGGCAAGAGGGCAAGCGAAATACGAGAAGAAACAAATGGAGAATTGAAACAGGGAAACGCCGCCGCTTTTAATAGAGAAAGAAATGTGCTATAATTTTGAGGTTTTTATTATTATTATTAATATGATATAAGTATAAGGTATAATATGTTTATAGATAATTTTAATTTTTTTATATTAAATGTTTATAATTATAATATTCTTAACCTTAGAATCTAAAAATTTAAAAAATAATAAGAATTCTTTTATCATCAAAATTTTTATAATTAAAGTTGAACATAATTCGAAATGGTTCATTCAATTTCAAATTTGCTTTTATTTCATCCACGTCATCTTTATTGGCTGGCGTTCCCAATATTTTGGTTGGCATTTCCCTAGGTAACTAAGGGAATTTTTACCGTACTGCAATGTTAATATACAGTTCAAGAAATACGTTATCAGTTTTATTATTATTTTTAATAAAATCGATAAAAATTTTATTTAAAATATTATTATTTATACCGAAAATATTAATGTTTTTAAACATTTCCGGTAAATTACCTAATAATAACAAAATCAGTAGAAAAAATAACAAAACATATGGTACTTTACCATATATGTTAACAAAACCGGTAAAACGCACAATAATAATAAAATCAGTAGAAAAAATAATATTTCCGATATTTTTTACCGGTTTTGTTAAAAAAATAATAACAAAATCGATAACGTATTTCCTTAACCGTATACTAAGACTGCCGTAATTTCTAATATTTAATTTTTAAAAAATTATTAGTACAGAAAACATATTCTTATTTTGGAAGCTTACACGCAACTCCCTCAGTTCAAGGAATTGACTGATTTTATGAATTTTACTAAGGAAAAATTCTAAAAAATAATTAGATAAAAGATAAAAATCCTTTCCGTCGAAGTTTAGTATAAAGTACACTTATGATGAATTCATATAAAACTGATTAGTAATAAATAATATAAAAAGAATATTAATTTTATCTTTAAATTTATAAAAATAATTTAATATTACTTTCAAAACTTCGATCTATTATATATTCTTATTCATTTATTAAAGTACTGATTATCACGAACGAAATAATTATTTATTAATTTTTTAGTTTAAATCTACATTTATGGTTTTTCCATATATAAAAGAAGAATATGAGTAGTTGACTACAATATCTTTTAAGTATATATTATAAAATTTCATTAATTAAAATATCTAAAATAATTAAATTCAAATTTAGAAAAGTTTTCCATGTGCCAACTATATACATGTCATTTCGCATGTGCCAGAAAAAAGAGGTTAGTTATAACAAACCAAGGTTTGGGGTTTGTTTGGTATTAGATTTAACAAAAATTGTACAGTACATATCGCATATCTAAATATACTATTAAATAAATATTTCTTATTAAATAAATATCAAAAAAATAAATTACACGTCTAGTACCTAAAATTATCATTTTTATTTTATTTTAATATCTAAATTTTATTTTTTTAAAGTAATGATTTAATTATTAACATTATCAATTTATGATAAATCAGTCTCTCATCGTTAATAATTGTTATTTAGAGTAATAAATTATTAATGTAGCATGTTAATTGCTGACATTTGATTATTGTTCGACTCTCCTTTATGAGAAAGCTTCCACATCCATGGATTTCGCGCGTTAACAAGAGTTTTTCTACAAGTGATGCGTGTTTTATGATAATGGATGGATCTGTTGGTATTGTGGGTGGTTACAAGCCTTGTCTTTATTTTGGCAGAAGGTTTTACAAGAATGGTGATAGTTGTAAGGGTTGTTTGGATCAAGAAAAATATTCTTATTTTTAGGAGGTGTTTGGTTGGAGTAATTTCACATTATCGGGGGAATGAAATCTCATTCCTCCGTTTGGTTGGCCAACATTCACAGCCTTCGGTAATCTTTTATTCCCAATAATGATATTTTGGGGTATATTACCAGAAATGTTAATACCTCATTTCTCTTAGGTATTGTTGGATTACTGGCGTTTTGGACTAAAATGTCCTTAAAAAATTTCTTTCAAAAATATATTTATTCTGTCGTTGAATAAAAAAATTATACGAATATTAAATTATAAATTTATTCTTAAACTATTTTAGATTTACAAAAAAATCCATAATTAGAATTTTATATTAAATTCAGGGGTTAAAATAAAATTTTACCCTTTCATTAAACCTATTTATCTTTTCAATTTTGTAAAACAATTATATAAATTTTATGAATTTAAATTTTTTAAAGAAAATATATAAATTAATTATAGTAATATTATAGTATAATTCAACTTGTTAAAAAAACAAATATATAATAAGAACAATTTAGTAAAATATATATTTCAATAATATTTTATTCCTTTAACAAAACATTGTAATATTATATTCCTGCTAAACGAACCAAACACAAAAATATAACATTCCCAGTAATCTTATTCCTGCTGGTAATCTTATATTCCGTGAACCAAACGCATCCGTAGTAATATTTTTCCCCCGAATCACATACCATTGTTTGATTCGAAAGCAGTCCCTCTAAGGGGTAATAGAACATTATCAACAGTAAATTTTTTTGTTTGGATTCCTGGGAATCCTATTCCTTATAGGGATGGCAAAAAAACCCGAACCCGATGGGAAAAATCGAAAACTGAATTAAACGGGTCGGGTTCGGAGATGATAAACGGGGACGGGGACGGGGATGGGGAAAACCCATTTATTTTAAATGGGGACGGGGACGAGGACGAGTTTGGTAATCCCCGCCCCGATTACCTGCCCCGATACCCGACCCGATAAATATTAAAAATAATTATTTATATATATATATATATATATATATACCCGGCCCGATTCCCGGCCCAATACCGACCCAATACCTGTTTAAATAACCGTTTATGCTAAACGGGGATACCCGTTTTCCCGCGGTTTTCCCCGATTACCCGACGGGGATCCCCGTTTAAATCCACGCGGTTTTTTAAACGGGGACGGGTACCGATTTTTTAAACGGGGACGGGGACGGGGGATCAATACCCGGCCCGAATCCGGCCCGTTGCCATCCCTAATTCCTTCCTCCACCTTAGGTATTTAGCAATTCCTATGGTTTTGGATAAAATTGCCCCTAAAATAGTTAGATGATTTCAAAATTACTATTTCTTTTATTCTTTTATACTTTGTAATAAATCATTTATTTTATTTCCATTCTCTCATTTTTAATATTTATGACATGATAAATTATATTGTACTGATAACGAATATAACGTAGTTTCAACAGTTTGAAGCTCGAATCTACACTCGACCATCAAAAAATTTGGAAACATTATTGCAAGAGAATGATAGCTACAGTGAATAACCAACTGTGTCTGCCTAGAAGAATTTCAATTCCCTTTTCATTATGTATTCAAAAAAATTAAAAGAATATATGATATATTTATCTTTTATTCTACTTATTTATTTTTTAAATTTTAAAAAAGAAAATATAAAAATTCTATGAATTTAGATTTTATAATAAAAATATATAAATTACAAATAATGAAATAATATATTTTTTTATAAATATTTTTATTTTAATATTAAGAATTTATATTTTTTGAAAAACATATCACATGGACAATTTGGTAAAATATACATTCTAGTAATCTTATATTTTTTCAATCAAACACTGTAATTGTAACAATCCGGAATAAAATTTGGAAAAAAATTATTAATTAAGTAATTTGGCAAAATTTGAGGATTTAATCGGAAGTTTTCAAAATTTTAAGCTATTTTAGAAGTTAAAGAAAATTCAGGGACTAAACCCTGAATTTAGCCAAAGAGTGTCGGCAGGTTATGTGGTTTTATACATGCACTGCGTTTCTGATTTTAAAATCAGAAACTTTTGTAAATAAAATTCCTCCTTTCGCACCCTTCTTGCAAGTCTGATCACGACGCCGTTCGACATCCGATCGTCAAATTGAAATCACCATCGTGTTCATCTTCGACTCGTGAACAAAGCCCAATAAACCAATTTTAGTGAAACGCTGCCAATCGCCGTGAATTTCGAGTCAAAGTATTGACGTTTTTTAACACCACCGCCGGGAAAATCTTAAATTCATCTCCGATCGTTGATCGGTTTTCGACACCTCCTGCACCATCGTGTTCCTTGTGTAGTTTCGAGTCCGTCGGTGTCAACCTTGTTCGCCGTCGACGGCAGCGTGTGAGGAGGTGGAGCAGTCAAAAATTCGGCCGAGTTGAAATCAAGCTCTCCGCCGTTCAAAAATTTGAACCGATCTTTGTAAGTATCTCGAAATCGCTTAAAATAATTTTTAGAAATTTTTCCGAAATTTTTAGACCCCCGGAAGAGGCCTCACGCGCCGAACGCGCCGCCGCAAGGAGAGTGGAGGGCTGGAAACCGGTTTGACCGGTCTGACCCGACCCGACCGACCCGACCCGACCCGACCGTTGACCGTGACCGTTGACTTCCTTTGACCAAAACTTAAAATGGCTTTGACCGACCCTTGAACGATCGTAAATCTTTTTCGAGTATACCTATTCTGATAGTTTTCGACGTCCCGAATCCGTTTTCGAAGTCTGTTTTGTCAAATTCGAACCCGAAGGCCTCCAAATTGATGGTCAAATTGGTTGACTTTGACTTTGACCAAGAATCTGAATTTTTGAAAATTCATACTTTATGTTTTTCGACGTCCTGATTCCGATTCCGCAATACGTTTGGCCAAATTCAGACTCGAAATACCCCAAAATGATAGTAAAACCCAAAAAATGCTTATATACTTAAGAATTTTAGCTTTGAACAGTTATGTAAGATTTGGAGTTGATTAATTATTATTGTTTGAAGGTACAAGAGACTCTCCGGATCGTTCGACAGCTCGACCCAGCTCTTCTAGATCAGTTAAACCACATATACCAGTATTCACCCGTTCAAAAACTGTAACAGAGCGTGGTGAAACCAGCAATCAGTAGATCTACTATCTGAACCCATTATCGAGGTGTGTTCCTGTTTACTACATAATGGTTTTATATGTTTTGAAATATGGTACATTGAAATATATGGTTTAGTATTGTTGGTACACCGATTTATTGTTGATGATTTATGGACTTTGATGACTGGTATATGGATATTGATTTTGGGATGGATTGAACTACAATTGTATAGCTCTGATCAAGCTAATAAACGGGCCTAATGTGACTCTTGAGGGCCCCAAGATGTTTCATTAGGTCGGCTTTCCTTTGCTGTATGCTTAGGGTAAGCTATATGAACTTATTGACTTGGGCTTAAGGATACAAGCTTCATAGCCTATCCTTAAGTCAGCTTTCTTTTTTGCTATGTGCATAAAGTAAGCTATATGGAAAATAATTTTGGGAACTACTGATGGTGTACCAGAAAAGGGTTTAAACTATGATTTTCAAAAGTTAAACTCTTTTACGAATTTGTGAGATTTACTGGACTATAATTTGTTTAATGTACCTATTGTGATTTTATGGTAATGTTGGGACACACTGAGCCTAGCTCACCTTTCGAAAATATTTTTCCCCTTTCAGATACTGTTGGTTAGATACCTCGGTTCGAGCACTTGGAGGATCAACATATCTCTTGAAGTATATCTGATTGTAATATTTTAAACTTGCAAGTTGACTTTATTCTGGTGACATGGATCTATTTTAAAGTATTGGATTTTATAATTATGATACTTTTGCTAAAACTATTCAGTTTATCGTGGTTTTGATTTTTAAGATATGTTTTAAATTAATTTATTACTGATTCGTTTTATATTTAAGAGTTGAGTTTTAATAGTATAATTTATTATAATTTCATGTCATGAATAATGTGGTTTTACATTGATTGGATAACGGTTTCAGAAAATGTCTTTAAGAATCATGTATGTGATCCACTAGACTTAGTCGAAACGCATAGGTCGGGTCTAGGGGGTTACATTTATTGGTATCAGAGCTTTTGGTTTTTAACCCTCGGACCGTGTATGAGTCCATATTGAAAATACGGTTTTGAAATATTTTACAAAACAAGTTACAAAGGCCATGTCACAAAATTATTAAGATTTTTAAATTGTGTTCGAGACTTCAAGTGCTTATCTAACCCTAAGTTTTATCTTCTGTAGTAAACTTGAGATCCATCAAAATGAGTGCTAGACGTGGTCGTCGAACTAGCCGTGGACGAGGTCGAGTGGCTAGATTTGCAGATCCGATTGATGAGATACGGGTAGATCCCCCACCTCCGATAGGTGATCCTGCTCCTACGACCCCAACGAATCTGCCTTCTGCCGCTGGTATTGGCATGACTACACCGATCATAGGAGCTACCAATATTGAGTCAGAGTCTACCGGAGTTGCTTTGGATGAGAATTTTGGTAGACAATTTCTGCAGTTGATATAGGGAGCAGTCAGAGCTACTGGTGTTGTATCAGAGGTTCCTATTTCGCAGACTTTGATTGCCAATGGAGTTAGAACTTTTGGGGGACAGATTGGTGGAGCTCCTATTGAAGCTGAGGATTGGCTCCAAGATACAGAGAGACGCATGGATCAGTTGGGTTTAGACTCAACTAAGAGATATCAGGGTGCTGTGGCGATGTTAGATGGCAATGCCTACACTTGGTGGGAGTCAGTGACCAGTAGTGTTCCTACCGATCGTTTGACCTGAAATTTCTTTAAGGATCGCTTTCGGAGTAGTTTTCTGGGAGAGCGCTACTTAACTCAGAGACGTCAGCAGTTTCAAGACCTGGTTCAGGGAGATATGACTGTTTCTGAGTATGAGATCGAGTTCTTGAAGTTGCTGAAGTATGGATTCAGTATGGTACCTACTGAGAGAGATCGATGTCGTAAATTTTCCCTTGGACTCAGATACGAGCTGCGTAGGCAAGTTGTAACCCATCAGGATGAGATATTTGATGTGTTGGTGGGCAAAGCCAAAGATGCTGAAGAGGTGGAGGTTTTAGCTTCTGGTAGAGAGCGTGTTGAACAGGAACGATCTAAGAAATTTTCAGGCCCGATGGAGTCATCAGCACAGTCCGGGAAAAGGACTCGTACTTCAGTCCCTCAGAGAAGTAATATATGTTTCTGGCATGCAACATCCTCACCGTTAGTTGGCAGTCGAGGCGGTTCCTCGTCGTATTATCATGGGTTCCTCTGTGAGTTTTGTGGTAAACAACACACAGGAGAGTGTTGTAAGAAGATGGGTCTTTGCTATCAGTGTGGATCTAGTGGTCATTTTCGAAGGGATTGTCCTCAGCTAGCTTCGTTTGAGCAGACCGCTACTCAGACTCCTGTGCGTTCTCAGACTACAGTACAGACTCCAATTAGAGATCGTAGCCAAGTAAAGGCTCGTGGTTCAGCGTCCAGGACTGATAGTAGAGCCCGACCTCAGTAAAATAGAGGGCCAACAGTTTCTGAGGCTAGACAACCAACTTTGGTTTATGCCATTAGACGTCGGGATGACAGAGATGAGCCTGAGGTTATTGCAGGTACATTTACTATTTATTCTATTCCATACTTTGCATTACTGGACAATGGCTCCACTCACTCCTATGTATCGAGCTCGGTATCTAGAAACCTTCAGATTCCGATCGAGAACACTGAAAATACTGTTATAGTTACGAGTCCAGTAGGACAAGCGGTATTAGTGAATAAAGTATTTCAGCGTTGTCCTCTCGAGGTTCAAGGAGAAATTTTTCTCGCTGATCTTATGGGACTTCCTTTAGAGGAGTTCGATCTAATTCTTGGGATGGATTGGTTGAATAAACACAAGGTAAATCTGGATTGCGAATACAAGTGGGCTACTCTAAAGACTTCAGAAGGTCGGACTGTTGTGTTAATTGGTGAATGGCGTGGCTATCTCTCCAATATAGTTTCAGCGATGGAAATTGATCGTATGATACAGAAGGGGTATGAGACTTGCATTGCTTGTATTTTGAACACTAAAGGTTCATTGTCCACGATCGAAGAGATCCGTACAGTTAGCGAGTTTCCTGATGTCTTTCCAGAGGAGTTGCCTGGTTTATCTCCTGATAGAGAGGTAGAGTTCGAGATAGAGACTTATCCAGGATCTGCACCTATTTCTATGGCACCTTATCACATGGCTCCAAAAGAACTTAAGGAGTTGAAGGTCCAATTGCAAGAATTATTCGATCGAGGATTTATTCGACATAGTACTTCACCATGGGGAGCTCTAGTTCTGTTCGTGAAAAAGAAGGATGGGTCGCTAAGATTATGTATTGACTATCGGAAGTTGAATTAGATGACGGTCAAGAATAAATATCCACTACCCAGGATTGATGACTTATTTGATCAGTTGCGAGGAGCTACTGTATTCTCTAAGATTGATCTTCGTTTGGGTTATTATTAATTGAAAGTTAAAGGATCTGATGTTGCCAAGACGGTCATTCGCACTAGATATAGTCACTATGAATTCTTAGTGATGCCTTTTGGTTTGATGAATGCTCCTGCAGCTTTCATGGATTTGATGAATCGGGTGTTTCGACCATATTTGGATCAATTTGTGGTGGTCTTTATTGATGATATTCTAATCTATTCTCGTATTGAGGCAGAGCATGACGAGCAATTGAAAATCGTTCTGCGGACTTTGAGAGAGCATCGTCTATATGCCAAACTAAGCAAGTGTGAATTTTGGCTTCAAGAAGTGTCGTTTCTGGGGCATATTATTTCTGCGCGATGTATTCAGGTCAATCCAAGCAAGATCGAGGCTATTGTGAATTGGAAACGACCCAAGAAAATCTCTGAAATCCGCAGTTTCTTGGGCTTGGCTGGTTATTATCGACGTTTTGTTGAGGGCTTCTCGATCATTGCTTCTCCTTTGACAAAGTTGTTAAGGAAGAATGTGCCGTTTGACTGGGGTGAGGCACAATAGGAGAGCTTTGAGAAATTAAAGGCAGTATTGACTCAAGCACCAGTGTTGATTCAACCAGAGTCCAGGAAGGATTTTACAGTGTATAGTGATGCGTCACACTCAGGACTCGGCTGTGTTCTAATGCAGGAAGGTAAGGTGGTGGCTTATCCATCCCGTCAGCTGCGACCGCATGAGTGTAATTATCCTACTCATGATTTGGAGTTAGCAGCAGTGATTTTTGCCTTGAAGATTTGGAGACACTATCTTTAAGTGTTACATTTTCACGGATCATAAGAGTTTAAAGTATCTTCTGACCCAGAAGGAGCTTAATTTGAGACAGCGACGCTGGCTAGAGCTTCTAAAGGATTATGATTGCGTGATTGATTATCACCCTGGTAAAGCTAATATTGTAGCGGATGCTTTGAGTCGAAAGACAGTAACAGAGTTGAGATCTTTAATGGCCAGGATGAATTTATATGACGATGGCACTCTGTTAGCAGAATTACAAGTTAAGCCGACCTTGGTTGATGAGATCAAAGCTAAGCAGCCCCTTGATAGCTCCTTGCTTTCCATATTTGAGCAAGTAGAGCAAGGGACAAGCTCAGATTACGCCCTTGATCAGGATGAAGTTGTATGCTTCAAAGGTCGATATTGTGTACCGGATGATGCTGAGTTGAGGCAAACTATCCTCACGGAGGCTCATAGTAGTCCATATGCTATGCACCCCGGTGGAGATAAGATGTATCGGAATTTGAGAGAGAGGTATCATTGGGTTGGCATGAAGAAGGACATCTCGAATTTTGTGGCGAGGTGTTTGACTTGTCGGCAAGTTAAGGCGGAACATCAACATCCATCAGGTTTGTTACAACCTATCAAGATTCCTGAATGGAAATGGGAGCGTATTACTATGGATTTTGTTACTGGTTTACCTATGACTCCTTCGAAAAAGGACTCAATTTGGGTGATTGTTGACAGACTTACAAAGTCAGCTCACTTCATTTCTATACGGGTAAATTATACATTGGACAAGTTGGCGAGGTTATATATTTCAGAGATTGTTAGATTGCATGGTGTTCCGTTATCTATCAATTCAGATCGAGATCCGAGATTTACTTCGAGATTTTGGAAGGCGCTACATACGGCTTTGGGTACGAGATTGGATTATAGTACCTCCTTCCACCCATAAACTGATGGTCAATCTGAGAGAGTAATTCAGATTCTGGAGGATATGTTACGGGGTTGTGTAATTGATTTTCATGGTAGCTGGGAGAACTTTTTGCCTTTGGCTGAATTCGCTTATAATAACAGTTACCAGACCAGCATTCGTATGGCACCCTATGAAGCACTCTATGGGCGTAGGTGTCGCACCCCGATTTGTTGGACTGAGTTGCGTGATAGGAAGACTTTGGGACCTGAGTTAGTGCAGGAGACAGAGGACACAGTCAGATTGATCCGTGACCGTCTGAAAGAGGCATTTGATAGGCAGAAATCTTATGCAGATCAAAGGAGGAAGGATATACAGTTTGACGTTCAAGATCAGGTTTTTCTCAAGGTATCTCCATGGAAGAAAGTATTGAGATTCGGGCATAAGGGTAAATTGAGTCCAAGATTTATTGGACCATTTAGTATCTTGAAGAGGGTAGGACCTGTTGCATATCAGTTTGAGTTGCCTTCCCAGCTCAATCGTATTCATGATGTCTTTCATGTATCAATGTTGAGGCGATACCGTCCAGATCCAGATCACATCATTCAGGTTGAGAATGTAGAGCTAAGACCTGATTTGTCATATGAGGAGGAGCCTATTCAGATTTTAGAAAGAGATGAGAGAGTTCTTCGGAATAGGCGCATTCCAAAGGTAAAAGTTCAATGGAGTAACCGAGGCCCCTCTGAAGCTACTTGGGATACATTGGAGTCAATGGAGGCTCAGTTTCCTCAACTATTCTCATAAGGTAAATTTCGAGGACGAAATTGCTTGTAGAGGGGAAGAATTGTAACAACTCGAAATAAAATTTGGAAAAAAAATTATTAATTAAGTAATTTGGCAAAATTTGATGATTTAATCGGAAGTTTTCAAAATTTTAGGTCATTTTAGAAGTTAAAGGAAATTCAGGGACTAAGCCCTGAATTTAGCCAAAGAGTGTCGGCATGTTATGTGGTTTTATACATGCAATGTGTTTCTGATTTTAAAATCAGAAACTTTTGTAAACAAAATTCCTCCTCTCGCACCCTTCTTGCAAGTCTGATCCCGACGCCGTTCGACATCTGATCGTCAAATTGAAATCACCATCGTGTTCATCTTCGACTCGTGAACAAAGCCCAATAAACCAATTTTAGTGAAACGCTGCCAAACGCCGTGAATTTCAAGTCAAAGTATCGACGTTTTTTTAGCACCACCGCCGGGAAAATCTTAAATTCATCTCCGATCGTTGATCGGTTTTCGACACCTCCTGCACCGTCATGTTCCTTGTGTCGGTTCGAGTCCGCCGGTGTCAACCTTGTCCGCCGTCGACGACGGCGCGTGAGGAGGTTGAGCAGTCAAAAATTCGGCCGAGTTGAAATCGAGCTCTCCGCCGTTCAAAAATTTAAACCGATCTTTGTAAGTATCTCGAAATCGCTTAAAATTATTTTTAGAAAATTTTTCGGAATTTTTAGACCCCCGGAGGAGGCCTCATGCGTCGAATGCGCCGTCGCAGAAAGAGTGGAGGGCT